CCTTGGTAGAAAGAGAGAACTGAATCCCACAAGTTGCTCTCTGACCTTCACATGCCCACACACACTGTGGCATACACACAAAATAAATAGATAAAATGCAATTCTTTAATATATTTTTAAAGCAGATGGGCAAGATGACTTGGGAGGTTAAAAGCACTTAATGGAAACTTGATGGCCTGAGATCAATGTCTGGAATTGGAAAGAGAACTAACTTCATAAAGTTGCCCTGATTCCACACAAACTCCATGGTTTGTATGCACCCCCACATACATCATACACACACAATAATAATTTCAATCATATTATACTTATAATTATAAATTAATATTATTAAAAGAAATTATAATTATAAAAATAAGTAATCTGTAATGAGTGATGTCTTTTCCTTCAATGACTGCCAGGAATAGACTTTATCGGAATCCACTGAAAGGTTTTCATATACTTCTTTCCTATTAAAATTAACAACAGGCAACACTACTAACCTGTTAAAAATCAATGTTAGGATTAATGATAGATTCTTTTGGTTCTTACTGAAGGGAGTTAAGAGGCAGGAGCACATCAGGAATTCAAGGGCAGCCTCAGTTACGTGGCAATTATGAGGCCAGCCTGGGGTTCCAGAGACCTTGTCTCAAAGGAAAAAAAAAATGAAGCATCCTTCTGATGTGTATTTTTGTATAAGTAAATGAAAATCTTGGAGAATGGGGCAATCTGATTTCCTAATTGGCAGATGCTAGACTCTCTCTTGCTCTAGATGCCTTCAGCAAAAGGGCTTGTCAGTCAAGCAGACGGCCAAACCACCCTTACACCACTGGACATTTGGAACACACTGCAGCTGCCTTGGGGAAGCTCCATAATGATCTCAACTGCTTGGTCTGATTTCCAGAAATAAAAGCATAAGTCCATATACCAAAAAAAAAAAACAGGACATAGAACATTGTCCATAACAACCCCAAAATGGAAATGATCAAAATATACACCAACTTGACGAACAAATAAAATGTGATACAAGTACATCCATACAATGGAGTATTATTCAGTAATTAAATGAAGTTCAGATACTCATCCCTATGGATGAACCTTGAGAATATTACCATAAGTAGCAAAAAAATAATTCTTGTATAAATCTATTTATACAAAATGTCCAGATGCCTAAAGTAGCAAGTAAGAAGCTGGGTGTGGTGGTGCCCAACTGTAATCCCAGCATTTAGAAGATGGAGGCAAAAAGACCTGAAGTGCAAAGTTATCTTAGGCTACACATAGTTCAAGGACAGCCTTGAAGAAATAAATAAAAAGAGCAAAGTGAGAATGGCATGGAGGAGAGGAAACAAAGTGAAAAGTGACTCTCAAAGAGTATGTGTTTGTTTGGGGAGGGATAAAACAGTTCTAAATTAGACTATGGTGATTGCTGCACAACTCTATGAATATACTGCAAATCATTTAGCTACACATCTTAAACAATATGTAGATCATACGTTATTATATGAATTGTATCTCAATAAAGCTACATATACCCCAGGCTGGTCTTGAACTTGCTATGTAGCCAAGAATGACCCTGAACTCCCTATCTTCCTTCCATCCAAGTGCTGGGATTACAGGCATGAACCACCACACCCAGCTCTAAAGCTGCTTTTTAAATGGCAATGTATTTCATTATTCAAGTTAAAAATTTAAAAACAAAATTATAAGTACAATTAGAGTAAATGCCAATTGCTCTGACCCACCAAGCAAAATAAGGAAATGACAACTATTGGTTAAATAATATAATAAGAGTAGAAATACAGACATGAGATTTGAAAAATGAAAACATGGAGCTATTGTTCATAACTGATTTGGAATTAGAATGTTAGTACTTGAGATGTGAGGGAAATCTGGCTGTGGCATCATAACCCCTGATCACCAAGGCTGACTGAGCTGACATGGCTAGCTAAGCAGGTGTTCCCTTCCCTCTTCACTGCTCTGTGACCTTCCCAAGCCGCACTGAAGAGGATGGCCTCCATGAACAAATGATTCTCTTCAGCCAAGGTTGAAGTGTAGCTGGGTTTCTATGCCACAGCCTCAAAAAAAGCTCTCAGCCATGCATGATTGCTGCATGTCTTAATCTTTGAGGCCAGCATCATTTACATGGTCAACAGATTAATTAATTAATTGATTGATTGACTGATTAATTCCAAATCCTTGGGCCAGAGACAGCAAGCAGGTCTCTGGTTGATGCCAAACCTAAGATCAATCCTCTGAACTCACGTGGTAAAAGAAGAGAACCTATCCTGAAAGTTGTCCTCTGACCTCCACAATGTGCCGTGGCATCAACATGTATGTTCATATACTAACACATACATACATACATACATACATGAATGTTAAAAAAAAAATTTAATCCAGGCTGGAGAGATGCTCAGTGGTTAAGAGTACTGGCTGCTCTTCCAGAGAACCCAGGTTCAATTCCCAGCACCCACACCTGTCTATAACTTCAGTTCCAGGGCTTCTGACACCCTCACACAGACATACATGCAAGCAAACACCAATATAAAATAATTTTTAAAAATTTAATCCAAATCCTCTAACAATATAGTCAAGAAAAACAACTAAAATGGATTGGGTCATGTGATAGTTCCTGGACTTTTTTTAATTGTTATTAACAATGTCCCAATAAAGTAAAAGACTTAATTCATGCACAACTACAGAACTAGAAGAAAAAGAATTCAGTGATAATAATGAGAAAATCTGGGTAGAATGGACAACATGTTTAAATTATAACATATACATTTTTTGTTTGTTTGTTTGTTTGTTTGTTTTTCAAGACAGGGTTTCTCTGTGAAACAGTCCTGGTTGTCCTGGATCTCACTCTATAGACCAGGCTGGCCTCGAACTCACAATGATCCGCCTGACTCTGCCTCCCAAGTGTTAAGATTAAAGGCATGTGTCACCACCACTCAGCAACATATACATTACTAAAGCCAAGACACCAGAAAATTAAACAGCAAAATTCAGTTTATACAAACATGTACTACTGATGCTAGACATGTAGCTCAATTGGTAGGATGCTCACCTAACAGGCAGCAAGCCCTAGGTTCAATCCCTAGCATGGCATAAAACTAAGCACGGTGGTGCTAGACTGTAATCCCAGCACTTAGGAGGTGTGGGTATGATGAGGATGAGAAGTTCAAGGGTATTCTCAGCTAGACAGCAAGTATGAGGACAGTCTAGGATACAGGAAACTACATCTCCCCTCCAAAAAATAAACATACTAAATCACAGTAAAATAAATTTATGATACTAAATAAGTTATTTATTGCATAAAACAACAGCAACTGAAAGCCACAAGCAACTCAAGACAACATGGATGATGCTCTGACAAGGAATCCTTCCTCAACTCCAGTGATCCCAAATACTCAATTCAGCAGCCAAATTAAGAGACTAGAACGTAACATTTTCAGCCACTCTAATAACATTTTAGTTACTGAAAGGCAAACAGTAATAGCTGCTAACAACACATTTAGGAGACTATTAGTGAGTGACCCCGGGATTTATAAAGAACCATGTAATGAAAATCACTGGCCTTTCACAACACAAGAAAATAGGAAAGGAGAGGAACTTGATGGCCATGAACATGATACGAAGAGGACAGGGAAGCAATTGTGTGAAAGAACTGGCACAAAAAAGGGGAGAGCTAAAAGTCACCTAGGGGTGTATTGGGGGTTCAACTCAGTGGTAAAGCACTGTTGTAGCATTCGGGAGGCCCTGGTTCAAACCTGAGCAGTGGGAAAAAAAAAAAAGTGGGGGAGGGATACAAGCTATTAAGGACAGTTATTTCCAGGAGGGATGACACCGAACAAACTTGCTTGGCACTAACAATGGAGCCTGGAGAAGAAAGCTGTGCAAGTGAAGCTAAAAGCAAAAGTCCTCAGCCTTCGGTCATTCTTTACCGGGACAATTCTCCCCACGACAAGGTAAGCAATGGTTAGTGACGGCTTCTGGAGGGAGGAGCACTGGGCCAACGCTGTACGAGGAGGGGTCAAGTGATTTTCAACGCATAGACTGAACCTTGGAGACCAGTAAGCACCCCAGGAAAGGACCAGGAGGAACTAGTTCTAGGATATCAGGAAACTGCGGGGGTTCAAAATTGGTCTTGGTGAATAATTTTCAACAGGAAGTATAACAGATGGTAATCCCCAACTAAGGCAGAACAAAAGTGGTGAAGGATCTGTGGGCTGGGCACACAGTTCAGCTGAAGAGGGCTTGCCTGGCACACTACAAGACACTGGGTTCCATCCCCAGCGCCACTAAGAAAAAAAAGAAGGAAAGGCAGGGGGTCCAGGTGCAGAGTGCCTGCTGGGCTGAGAACCAGACACCCATTTTTCTCCCCTTGTGACCTTGGACAAGTCACTTCCCTTCCCTGTGCCTCGTCAGATACAGGGGAGCAGTAAGTGCACCCCAGCGGTAGGGTTGCTCAATGGCTTCCATGGATGGACTTGTACATGAATTCCGCACAGTGCCTGGCGCTTTGTGTAACAAGTGCAAGTTAATTAAGCGGAGCCAGGCCAGGTACGTTCGGACAGCTCCACGGGCAATGCAGGTGGCAGCTATGGGAGAAAGTGTCAGGGGAGGGAGCAAAGAGCAGGTCCCGGTGTAGCCAAGGTCCCGGTGTAGGCAAGGTCCCGGTGTAGGCAAGGTCCCGAGGCCGCACTTGGGCGGGGTCGTCCTCACGCCCCAGGCTCTCCGGGGAGGGAAGGTAGAACTCTTCCTCCAGGACGGAGGTAACCAGGACGCTCTCGGAGGAGCTGTGATGGGCAGATCCAACGCGCGCAGAGCCGGCACCCGCTCCTGACTGAAGAGCTGCTGACCGAGGAGGGAGCGGCGGCCCAGCAGAACCGCGCCTCACCCTCTCTCTCCAGACAGGCTCCCCAGCCGGGCCTCGCCCAGGACGCGGGACACCCGCGGCTCACCCCTCTGCCAGCCGCCGCGCTCCGCCCGCTCCCGCCGACCCGGCCCCGCCCCGGTACCTGAGCGTGGGCCCGATACAGGCCGTGTCTGTGCTCTCGATCTCCCTCAGGATCCGCTCGTGCTCCGCTGCCGTCTCCAGGCTCTCCTCCGCCATCTTCGCCCGCTCCATCGCAGGGCACCGACGCGCGGCCCTCCCTCAGCGAGTGCCCCTCGCTCCCTCAGCCTAGGCTCCGCGGCCGCTGGGCCAGCACCCCGCAGCGCGACCCCGCCCTCGGATGCCACGCCCCCAGGCGTCAGCCCGGCCGCGAGCGTCGCGCACAGCCCGCTGGGATTTGTAGTTCACTGAGCCAGGCGGAGCAGGGTTGTCCATTCATGGGTTGAGTTTGCCCTAATTGCTGCGACCTTGATATAGATCCAGAGCACTTTATGACACCTGTATACAATGACAGTGTATACACCTGTATTTGTATACATATCAGGCAGTGGTACTAACTATGCTCAATGTTTTAATGTGTATGGGTATTTTGCGTGCATATATGTCTGTACACTACATGAATGCTTGGTGCTCCAGGAAGCCAGGAGAGGGTGTCAAAATAATCACCTGGGACTGGAGCTACAGATGGTTGTGAGGCGCCTTCCAATCGTCTGGAAGAGCCACAAATGTTCTTATCAACTGAGCCATATCCAGCCCCTAAATATGAAGCCCAGAAACTCATGATCCCCTGCCTCCCTCAACCTCATTTTTTTTGAGATTGTAATATAATTACAAGATTTCTCACCTTCCCTTTCCTCCCTTCAAGACCTCCCATATATCCTTCCCACTCTCCTTTAAATTCATGGCCTCTCTTTGCACTGGTATCACATGCATATACATATATATAAACACATATATTCCTAAATATAACCTGTTCAGTCTGTAATAATGTAACATGTATGTATGTATGTTTTCAGGAATGACCGTTTCTGCCTCTACTTCTTTTTTTCCATCTATTTATTGTACATGCCAGCTGCAGCCTCCCCCGACCTACATCCTCTCCTTCACTCCCTCTCCCCCATTCCCCACTTCTACCCCCAATCCTCTCCTTCTGTCTCCCTCCAGGAAAGGGCAGATCTCCTATGAGTACCAATAAAACATGGCATATCAAGTCGCAGTAACACTAAGCACCTCCCCATGTATTAAGGCTGGACAAGGTGATCCAGTATTAGAAGTAGGGCCCCAAAAGCCAGTAAAATAGTTGAGACAGCCCTTGTTCCTGCTGTTAGGAGTCCCACAAGAGGACCAAGCTACACAACTGTAACATATATGTAGAATGCCTAGGAAAGTCCCATGCAGGCTCCCTGGTTGTTGGTTCAGTCTCTGTGAGCCCCTATGAGCCCAGGTTAGTTGATTGTGTGGCCTTCCCCTGCTGTCCTTGATCCCTCTGGCTGCTATGCTCCTTTCTCCTCCTCCTCCCCCTCCCCCTGCCCCTCCTCCTTCTCCCCCTCCTCCTCATTCTCCCCCTCCTCCTCTTCCTCCTCTTCTTTCTCCTCCTTTTGCTCCTCCTCCTCCTCTTTTTCCAAGGCAGGATTCCCGAACTCCGCCTAATGTTTGGCTGTGGGTCTCTGCATCTGCCTCCATCAGTTGCTAGATGATGTCTCTCTAATGACAGTTGGGCCAGGCACCAGTCTGGTCACAGGAGATGGCCAGTTCAGGCTACTTATCCACTATTGCTGGGAGTCTAAGCTGGGGTCTTCCCCATAGACTCATGGGAGATTCCCCTGCCCAGGCTTCACCCAGCCTGAAATGCCACCCCCAGCAGTCCCCCTCAGCATGCTCCCCCTCCATGCCTCTCCAACTTAATTGCTCATGGTCCCATTTCCACCTGCCCTTGGTCCATTCACAATCTCTTCTATTTCCTCTTCCCAGGGAGATTCATGCGTCCACACACGAACTCTCCTTGTTAACTATTCTCTCTGGGTCTATGGATTGTAGCATAATTATATTCTTTATTTTACAGCTAATATCCACTTATGAGTGAGTACATACCATATTTATCTTTACCAGTCTGGGTTACCTCACTCAGGGTGTTTTTTTTCTAGTTCTACTCATTGTCTTTCTAATTTCCTAGTGTTCTTGTTTTTAACAGCTGAGTAGAACTCCATTGTGTAAATGTACCACATTTTCTTTATCCATTCCTTCGTAGAGGAACATCTAGGCTGTTTCCAGGTTCTAGTTACTGCAAATAAAGCTACTATGAACATAGTTAAGCAAGTGTCCTTGTGGTATGATTAAGCATCCTTTGGGTATATGCCCAAGAGTTGGGTCTTGTGGTAGATTGATTCCCAGTTTTCTGAGGAAATGCCACACTGACTTCTAAAGTGGCTGTACAAGTTTGCACTCCCACCAGCAATGGAGGAGTGTTCCCCTTGCTCCACATCCTCTTCAGCATGAGCTGTCCCTTGTGTTTTTTAACTTAGCCATTCTGACAGGTGTAAGATGGAATCTCAGAGTCATTTTGATTTGCATTTCCCTGATGGCTAAGGATGTTAAACATCTCCTTAAGTGTTTCTCGGCCATTT